CTAACTCTCTCATATTCCTTTGACTTTGTTTTTTTAAATTTAATTTATATTTAGAGAAAGGGGAAAGGAGAGGGAAAGAGAGGGAAAGAAACATCGTTCAGTTGCCTCTCACTCACCCCCAACCAGTGACCTGACTTGCAACCCAGGCATGTGCCCTGATGGGGAATCCAGCCAGTGACCCTTCGGTTTGCAAGATGTCATCCAACCCACTGAGCCACACCAGTCAGGGCCACATATTCCTCTGAGTTTAAACATGAGTTCCTCCTCTTTTAGGAAAACAAAGGTTAAATCCCATTAATGAGGTTTGATGTATCCTTAGATTATAAGTTAAATTGGAGGAGATGAAGCTTGGATTTTGATTGTTTACTTTATTATTAATCAGACATTAAACATCCAGCATGATGTCAAAAGCTTTAAGGTAGGAGAGATAAATGGTAAAAGAAAGCCCTATCATCAAAAAGTTTGCAATATGGTGAATATGTGTATGATACAGTACAGTTAAAAGATAGGAAGGAAAGAGTGCTACATGTGGGAGAAGCTCACTTAATGTTCCAAAATCAAAGAAACACTTTTGATGAGAAGATGCCTCCTTTTAAATATTCTTTCCACATGGAGTCATCACGAATAAAGAAATCTATAGATTTAGAGGCAGAAGAGCTGCTGGATGGAAAGGACTTTTCTGACCTCCCCTTGAAAGAATGAGGCTAGGGGAGGGGCTCAGGGGAAGAGAGGTTTTCATGACCCTTGGCATTTTATTGCCCTTGTAAACAGACCTGGGAGCTATGACCATAGCCAAACTGGAAAACTGGATTTTTAGCTAGTTTTCTTTTCACAGCTGGGCTATAAACTTCTTTAGGACAGATAGTGTTTCCTGCACTTGATGGTACAGCCAGTGCCTAGAACCAAAAAGCTGCTGAATAAATGGATTTGTTGTGCTGTTGATGAGAATGATATTTTCTTACCTTGCCCAGGTCTGGAAAGTGGGCCAGATATATAAAAGCGTTTCTTTCAACTTTCTCAGCTCAAGAGTCAGGACTTCTCAGATTTAACAGCAGTTGAAAGGGAAGATTCATCATTACTTACCCCTGCGGCCAAGAAACTGAAAATAGACACCAAAGAAAAGAAAGAGAAGAAGCAGAAAGTGGACGAAGATGAGATTCAAAAGATGCAGTAAGTTACTCTCTGATCTTTTCCACATCGCAAGACCCTAACTGGACTGCACAAAGTTATTAAATTTTTCTTGACCTATAATTTTTTTATAAACTCGAAGAAATTAAAGCAATTATACATTGGTATATCATAGAAAATATAAATAAGCAAAAAGAAAATATCATCATACCACCAAGTTATAAACACTTAATATTTTGAAGTATATCCTCAAGTAATTTCTGTACATATACAGAGATGGGCAAGAGTAGGTTTACAGTTATGAGTACATGAGACGCAGTTTATTTTTTCCCCCATCACCATTTATTTATCGAGTTTATTTTTGGATTATTATTTATTACTGTACTTTCACTTGTATTACAACTGTAAACCTACTTTTGCCCACGCCTATATAATTATAAATTAACATTTTCAGAAGTGTTAAGTACTATTTGTAACCCTTTTTTTCACATTAAATATAGTAAATGTGTTGCATGTCAGTAACTCTACATCTAGGTCATAATTTTCTTTTAAATGGAAATAGCTTCATTATGTCTTCTGACTGTAAAAGTGTAGCCTCATTGCAAATAATTCAGAGCATATAGAAAAAATAACTACGTATAATTCCACTACTGAGAGTTTATTCAGGGTACATACCTTTTCAGATTTTTTTAAATGTCTGATATATATTGTAAAATATTATCCATTAGTAAATGTCTGAAAATCATTAGTTTTAATGGCTACATTGTATTATATTGTGTGGATGAACTATGTAGTTTAACCAACACCTGCAGCTGTTCTAGTGTTTTGGATTTCTTTTCTTTTGACAACATTATGATAAAATATCTTGAGCATATCTTAATGTACTTGTCCATTTGCTTCCTAAAATAAACCAGGAGTGTAATTGCTAGTTCAAATAGTGCGAATATTTTCAAAGGATTTTTGTACATATCTCTGAATTCTCCAAATGGGCTGTCCCGCTCCATGTTCACTGCACATGTGAGTTTCTGTCTTCCCGTCCTCATTGGCACCATTCTTTTCAATACTCATCAGTCTGTCTTGTGAGAAATGTTATCTTGTTTTAGTTTATCATTTTAATTTCTTTCATAGTGAAGATTAATTTTTTCCTCTATTTATTGACCATTGGTATTTTCATAAATTTTCTGTTCATGTCCTTTGCTCATTTTCAAAAATTGATATGGCCATCTTTTTATTTATTTGAAAGAACTCCTATATGGAGTATTAAAACTTTTCCATATATTTTACAAATATTTTCCTCCTTAATCTATTAATGTTAAAAACTACTGGTTTGAATAAGAAGCATAAATAGTAGGTACAAAATAGGCAGTGGGCGGTAAGAATAGTAGCTAAAGAACTTATATGTATGATCCATGGCCATGAACTAAGGGGCGAATGCGGGTGATAGAGGGAGAAAGGGGAGAAAAAATGGAACAACTGTAATAGCATAATCAATAAAGTATACTTTTAGAAAAACTACTTGTATGAATATAAATTTATACATTAAATTCTTACCATAATGTGTAGTAAGGCAGCATTATGGGGAGAGAGCCCAGTGCTGAAAACCTAATATATATAGTACAATAATAGAATGACTTGACATTATTGTTTTGTTCTTAATGAAGTAAGAAATGAAGTTGTTTTTCACTTATGTTCCTTAAGAGGAGAAATACTTTACCCTCATCCCTATGGACACTAAACCTAATATCGACCCCTTGAAAATTCATTTTTGCATTGACATTTGATTTTATTGATTGAATAATGTAGTTTAAGCATTCTTTCTTATAAGTGAACTTTTACCTGAATCTTTGTCTAGAATCCTGGTTTCTTCTTTTTCTGAGGAGCAGCTGAACCGTTACGAAATGTACCGCCGGTCAGCTTTCCCTAAGGCAGCCATTAAAAGGGTAAGGCGGGGCCGTCGTAGTTCTTTTTTTCATCAGCTAAGGGAACTGAACTAGACTCCAGCATTCTCTCCAATGCATTTGGGAATGAGGTGTTGGGCAAATGGGTGGATCATTTAGGCGGCAAAATTAAATTATGTCTTTCAATAATCTGACCAATTGCAGTTTTGTATTCCAGCAGTAGGGTTTCAACAAACAGCATCCTTGCTCTAGTCCTAATGTCAGCCTTTAGTAAACACTTTCCCAGTGCAGAGCTCTAATGGGTACTTGTTTCTAAAGCCAGTCCTTGACTAACTTAATCACAGAGCCTTTGTCCTTCTTTCAAGCTGATCCAGTCCATCACTGGCACCTCTGTGTCTCAGAATGTTGTTATTGCGATGTCTGGTATTTCCAAGGTTTTCGTCGGGGAAGTGGTAGAAGAAGGTGAGTGGTGATGTAAGTAATGGATTGAACCTGTGATGGTCTTTATTTTCAAGAACATCTGGACTATGGGACTTAATAAGGCACTTTAGTAGTTTCCACTTAGACTAGAAGTTGACCAAGGCAGGGAGAGAACCTTTGTGTTCAGCAGAGCATGACCATTATTCTTCCAAAGTTCCCATACTGGGAGTCAGGAAGAATCTAGGAAATGTCCCTCCTGTCTCCTCCCCTCAGCCCAGGCTGCCAGAAGCAGACTGTGTTTTTCTCCAGTGAACTTTGCTCATTTCTGCTGTCGAACATAAAGATACAAGAAAAGCAATCACTGGGGTTAACCAGTTGGCATGGTGTGGAGTTATCCCTGATGTTATGACCTGGGAACCGCCCACCTACCCATCAAGTAAAGAACTCGGTTGCTGCCCACTACCAATTTCTAGCTGGTGAAATGTTTTATATTTTTAAGCAGATTTGTTTTTAACTATTGCCTATGTAAAGCCTGATAAAGGGATATTATACTAAAGCTAACATGATATATTTTATAGCATTTTCTTAAGAGAAAATGTCTTGGTTTATTTTCTTTGCAAGCTTTAGAAGAGGTAATGAGACTTACAGGACTCAAAGGGTTGTGAATAAGCGCTGGTGTGGTAATGAAACTTTCTCATCACCCTCTGTTTAGCACTGGATGTGTGTGAGAAGTGGGGAGAAATGCCACCACTACAACCCAAACATATGAGGGAGGCTGTTCGGAGGTTGAAGTCAAAGGGGCAAATACCCAACTCAAAGCACAAAAAAATCATCTTCTTCTAAGACCAAAGCCTAGAAAGGCCTTGTACTGGAGGACATAGTGCTTCCAGACTTCGAACTGCAGATTTTGTGCACTGGTGCTTTCACATCTGCCCGTGATTTCAGCGTCTTTCTCAAAACTCATCACACCTAGAAGGCATGCAGCCTGTTTCATACTTGCCTTGACTAAGTATGGAGACCTTAAGGCATTTTGAAGCATTCCACTGTCTCTTGGCTAGTTGGAAGAAGGCACGTGGGCTTTAAGCATCTTCTGGACAGGGGAGCTGCTTGCACAGAGAAAACCTTCCCAAGACAATTCCGACGGTTTCACACAGAAGCCTGAAGTTGTCGTGTCTTAGGTTGTTTCTTACATGTGGTTTTAAGTAGATGAAACAACCAGAAACTTTTGACTTTCTAATGTGAATGACGTGAAGATACAGGAATAATGGAATAGTTCATCCCTGTTAAACATTTAAGATTCTTCTGTGGATTTTGGTGAGTGACCATTAAATTGTTTTCCAACTTATCACATGTGTGTTCATTTTCTGTCTAATTGGTTGGAATTTTGGTGTCATAATAAAACTGGTCTTAAATTTTTTGTGAAGATTTGAGCCCTTCCCACTTCCTACTAGAGCTATTAAAATGTAATCTCATAAAAGGATACTGAAAGTACTTAAGAACAATGTAAAAGCCCATATACTTCAAGTTTCTCATAAATAGATATACCACAACCAGTACTGTTTAATAAGTTTAATTTGCTTTTTTCAGGTGGTTCACAGAACCAGTACACTCAAAGTTTAATTAGATATTGCATTATTAAAATTTCCCGATGCCAGTATTTCAGTTCATCAGATACATTCTCATTGTTTTCCTCAAATAGAGGGGAATGGAGTGATCTTTCATTGACAGTGATTAGCAGTAATAAGGCTACAATATTAATTGGCAATCCCCAAGAATTCTTTCCTATCATTCATTGTCACCAGGAGCAGGACTTTGAAGCTGTTGTCTTCTGAAGCTTTCCTGAGCGTGTCTTAGTAAAGATCCCAATTCTGTTTAGCACCCTGAGTGGGGGAAAGAGCTTGGACTCACACAGTTGGGCAAATCTTTTAGTATGTAAAGTTGTGGCTTTAACATCTACTTAGCCAATGGAAAAGACACTTCAGTGGGGCATTCCACAAAGAAATACTGTTAAGACTCAAGCTACATCTTGAGCAAAAACTAATGAACTGGGGAAAAACAAACAAAAACAGATATTCTCTCAACTCAAACAGGATTCTTTTTTAAGTTATAGGGACTGTATCTATTGCAATTTGAGATACTGAATAAGGCTGAAATTTACAAATAACAAGGGAGAAAGTTTGCATCCCAAGTCTGAGCACTTAGCAAAACCTCACAGTTTAAGGTTATCTAAGAATGTTTCACCTTGTCCCTGTTGTAAGAGATGGGGAAAATAATCCCCGTTCAACAACAGCTGCCATCCATACCTAGCCACAGGCAAACAGGAATATTCCTGGTGGGGAAGCCAGAGATGCAGTTGAAAGGATAGTACATCACACCAGAATCTCTTGAAACAATAATATAATGACTATGGTAAATCACAAGGCAGCTAGACAGCTTTTGTAGGTCTCAAACAACCAGATGTTATCCTACTAGCTCGTGCAGCAATGTTCAGTTATTTCCATAGTTTTGTGGTGTTACTTAACTGATTTTAGAAGTTTAGGCAAGTATTAACTATAAAGGAGAAGGAAAAACAAGTCCTTAATGTAAAAGTTGGAATGGAAAGTTCTCATATCACCATGGCATTAAACTACCTTTCCACCACCCTCCCAAACTAAGGGGAAGCTAATGTAAATGGGTTAAATAAAAGCATTTAAGTTATGGAATACAAGGGGGAACCAAAAAAATGAATTATATTCTGGAGGGCAGGCCTCTTGTATTACAGGCTTCCCTCGTTAGCTGAGAGTTCTAGGAACCTGTCTGTACCAGTGTGCCAGTTGGTGGTGGTGTGAGAGGCTGCATTTGGCTAGAGTGAATTTTTTTTGAAGACTCTATGCACTTGCCCATTTCATGATGGGTGATTTACAAGTGTACCTGCCCACACCGTACTGAGTGTGCAGCAGTCTGGGACCAAAAATGGCATAACCCCCGTGTCCCACCCTCCCTATTCACTCAGTGTCGCCCTGAGTGATTTGTTTTTTCCTCCAGATAAAAAAGTCCTCAAAGGGAAACACTTTGCTGATGTGGAAGAGGCAAAACAGAAAAACAACAGAAGCGACTAAAAGGCATCAAAATCGACTAGCAACAGAAACTGTTGAGCAGTGGAGAAAATGTCTTGATAGGTATATTGCATCAACTAGTACTTTGAAGGTGATTGAAGTTTAAACGTGTAAGAATACAGTTTTTTATAAATACATTCCAGTGTTTTTATGGGGGAATTCCCCTTCATATTTGAAGACTGTTATTCACTTCTTGTATATTCCATGTAGAGGAACCATTCCTTTTAGAACCATGAAAAAGGGTAAGGTCGAAGCCCATGGCAAAATCAGAGTCAGATTAAAAATACAGCAAAAAACAGCCAACACAGTAGAATCCATGCTTTCTGTCTTAAGTCAAAGAAACTAGGTTAATTATTCCAGTGAGCTGAAAACACAATTTGAGGTTGACAACCATCCCTGTAGCTCACCTAAGAGACTTAAACCAGTCCATGTGCACGAAAGCATATCTCTAATACATCCATGTAAACAGGAAATGAAGGCAGTCACAGATGATACATAGTTGTAAATGTTTCACAGCTAAAACAGTGATGTACAGTGGCTGGAGTCTTTGAGGGATAGTGGTGCTATCATCACTCCAGATGTTTTCTTGAGGTATTATTTCTTGTTCACAGAGTCTTCCAGCTCCAAGACAGAAATGCGAAGCAATTCAAAGGAGCTGACACTTATTTTTTCCTTCATTTTTTTGCCTTTACATTTATCCTGAGAATTATCAACCAGTTCACATTTCATTATGAAAAAAAAAAGTTCCTTCTCCTATTGAATAGAAGTATAAAGTTATTATACAAGATGATTTTTTCTAAAATTCCATGGGACAAACGATCCCTACATTTCCTGAGGGAATATTTCAAAACAAAATGGCCAAAGCTGCCACATAATGGAAGTGAAATGTAGGGCTCCATTTCACCCGGGCAAGAACTCCAGAGAGCCCAGACACCTGACTGAGCTCTGGCTTCTGAGGAGGAGGGGGAGGCGGTTAGCCTTGGTACTGCCCAGATTTATTTCTATTGCCTTCCACCAAGCATGGGTGTAAGGTGAATATATACCAAGAAATGCCTATTAGGTGTGTTCCTTGTGTGGAAGGATGCCAGAGACATATTGTGGCTCAGGGAAGAGAGGAAAGGAAGAACAATCAGAGAGTGATTTAAACCAATTCAGGTAAGCCTAAGGTTGAATACTTCGATTTTCCAGCTACTGAATCTCCTTCCTCCTCTTCCAATAACATTAGAAATTCCACACTTGAGAGGACCAGTGATCTATTTTGTTCACCATTCTGCCTTTGAAAGAAGCATCAAGTTAATGAGGAGTTTGTGGAGGGAAGCAGATACCGTCTCATTTGTATTTCACCAAACAGCCCTGGTGGTTGCTAATTCCTTTTGGGAGGCCAAACCATACGAGGACCCCTCCTACCAGTCCTGTACCCATGCATAGTTTCTGCCAGCACCACTTCTTAGACAAGGAACTCCTTACATTTCTGATGTACTATAAGAAATGTTTTCTTTTACCTAAAAAGCTATGAGGTAGAGCCCGAGAGATCACATTTCAGAGCTGGGTGAACATGTCCTTCCTCTTGACTGTGTATCTGATGGAACACTACCCTCAGCTTTCATCATTCCAGAATTGGAGCCAACTTTTAAAACAATGTGTCTTCATCTAAATGCCTTTACCCCCTGGTAGCTTTTGCTGTTGTCTAGACCTATACTTTATAAGTAAGGTTGTCCGAAGTGCACAGATAGTTTAAGACACTAGCCTGGTTGTGCGTGAAGTCCATTTTCTGTGTTGCCTCCATGTGCCCTTCCTGATGATGCTGTTGCGCTTTTGGCCACAGCGGCGCCCTGACCCCACCCCCTCTTGGCAGTGGAGTGCCTGGGTTTCCTTCCCGAGCAGGAACAGAGCTCGCTGCCTTGTCAGCAGCTGACTTTTCTATAAGTGCATTACTTCACATTTACCTCGCCCAGACCTCACCTGTCACTTTCCTTAGTATTCACAGTCTGGCTTGTGGCCCTTCTGCAGTTTTTCTTTTCTTTCTTTTTTTTTAAGTCTCATCTGGTTTAGCTTTCAATGCCTGAAACTGTGACATATGATTGCATTGTAATACCCTACTTTCAGGTTATTTATAAAAAATCTTAAATGAGGTTAACCCAAGCATCAACCAGTAGGAACTTCCCCTGTTAACATTCTCTCGAGAAAGATGTTTATTCTGAAGTCTCTAAGCATGACAAAATATTCCCACAATCTCATAGTAACTGATGCTTTTAAAATTTACTTAGTGAAGAACTTGCCAAAAGTTCTTTCTGAACAAATTAGATCTTGTTCATTTTTGAACAAGTTTCTGTTTACCATCAAAAACCTACAATATACAAGTCAGGCATTATTCTCCATAGGGAAACCATTTCATCTTTCCTTCAACAGGTCACACGTGATTAATAAGACTTGACTGACACTACTAAGTCACTAGTCTACCATCCCGCCAATTCAAGCTGAGTTAGCTGATGAATTTCTGTCCAGTTAACACAGCTTGAAGTATACAAAACATTACAAATGAAGGTAGAGTGTTAGGGAAGAAGTAGGTTTAAAAAAAGGAGGAAACTGTGCTTTGGGGGGGGCAGGGACAAAACCTAGATAGACTGAAGGGTATTTTTTTTAACTTGCTGAAATCACATGATTTTAAAAAGTCACAGTGATGGAGGGGAGTGAGACGTAACAGGTTGAAATGTTTGTTACAGTTTAAAATACATTTTCCGCTTCCAAACCAAGTGCTAAGGACAGTGCTGGTACAAAGTCATCGTGCTGGGGAAGCAGATGTGCTGGGGTCCCCAGGAAGACAGAGGAATCACCTCTGAGGTGCAGCCATGGAAGAGACTCAGGACTCTAGCTGGGCACCTGGAGCTCAGAATCAAGCTCCCTATTGATCCCTATTATGTCACGCCTTCAACCTAGCTCAGAGTGCAGACTTGTTTCTTGACTTAAATTTCAAATAAACTGTGTTGTAGAAAGGAAAGATAATAAGACAGCCATTACTGTTGTTTACTTTCTACTACAGCATCACAATAATCAAGGCAGAACAAAGGAAGCTTAACCCTGAAAAGTCTGATTGTATTATCAGCCAAAATGCTGTGAGCTTGGTTCCCTTTCTAAAACAAGGAGGGTCCCAGCCTCCTTTATTCTTGCGCCTCTGCTGGCTGTTTCCTGTTCCACTCTGCTACCATGGCCAGAACTCAGGCCTGTTCGGGTCTGCTACAGGAAGCCCTAGGACATGGAATCTTTGGTGGCTCTGTGGGTGACTGAGGAGGTGAGTACTTTTCCTTGTTCACACAGGTTATGGAGGAAGCAAATGTCTATCCTGAAACCACGTGGTGCCATGGCCCTACAGGGTAGAGAAAATTCCACCCAGTGTGCAGAGGACCAAAAGGCTTTATCTAGGCAAGACATGATACTTCAGCCACGCACGAAACTGCCCCCAATTTCCTGGAACATGGTCATGCTTTGCCCTATCTGCCGTCCAAGTTAGAACAGCTGGCAGAAAGGAGTTAAGCGCTCCCACGTTCCTCCGGCATCCTAAGCCTACTCATTCCATGCTGGAGGCTGCGTCTGTCCTAGGTGGTGGTATTGCTGGTGATCTCCTCTCTCCTTGGCACGGACAGCTGAGCCACTGCTGTCAGAGCTCAAAGAGGGGGTTATATTTCCTAATCTCCTGAAGAAGTTTCTCTTTTTCCTGGTTGGCGTTGGCCAATGCTTGTTTAGTTTCTATCAGTTCCTTTTGTAGAGCAGTCAGTTCTTTCACCTAAGGAACAATAAGTAATTCACAGTTAATGAGTAAGGTGACACAAAAATGAATAAGGTAACTTGAAAAAAGGGGGAACAAGGTGGAAGAATTCAAGCGAAAGATCTATAAGTTTGGCCAATGATCAACAGAACCCAACCAGATTTTTTCCTAACAGCCTCATCCCCTCTCCAGAGTTCCTCAGGCACAGGAACAGCAGCAGGTGATCAGCAACCATCCACCTCCAGCTCCTGGTTTACATTCTCTATGCTCCACTTGTGGAGGCTGCCGCTAGGTGACAGAAGCCCATCTGTACACAGCACAAAAAACCTTTCGAGCCTTGTGGATTTTATCAGCCTCTGTGATTACAGTCCCCAAGGGTTTATGGGAAAGGTACTGTTCAGTTAGGTCCTCACCTGCTGTCCAAAAGCCTCCCCTGTGGGTGCAAAAAACACCTGTTCTCTTGGGGCCTGTCTCTTCTCACTTTTAGATACTTCAGCTGATGTTCTGTCCTGAGCAGCAGCTGAGGAAAAAAGTAAAGGTTCTACATGACACATTGCTGTCAACATGCAGACAATTCCCAGTTGTCACCTATTCCCTTACGGGAGAAAAAAGGCAGAGAAGCCAGGGGGGCTGCCAAGCCCAACTCACCGCCTACATGGAACACGCCATCATCACTCCGCTTCAGCACAACGTGCTCCATGGCCAGAGTGATGGGGATGGGGCCTGGGGACGTCGGATAGATGGGGGGGATGTCATCCTACAGGTAAGAGGAAAAGCGCATGATGCCCCCAACCAACTCAGAGCAATTTAGGTAAAAACCCATGCTTCTACCATTCAGTGTCACTGCTTATCCATACATTCTTGCAAGGTGTGAGATGCATAACCGAGTCTGTCCCACTCGAGAGATGTGAAACTGAGGACCAGATAAACCAGGGATTGCACACAGTCGTGCTGCATGCCAAAGACAAGGTTAAGGCTATTGACGAGGTCTCCTGATCTGAAACCAGGACTTTTTGACAGCCACACATACTTATGTACTGCTATAACATTGACAGAGAATGCTAATGTGCATTTCCTCACTTGATCCTCCCCACATTTTAAAGTGAGAAGGCAAGAGGTTAACAGCTGTCACTGCCAGAATTCCTTGCTTGACAAAGTCTATGGTAAAACCCAAAAGTTCCTCTCACCTTCAGGGTGATCCTGGAGTTCAGGAGCTCAATCTGCATGGGAACTACCACTGGAATCTCCTCATCCTCTAAGAAGGGCCCCAGACTATTGAGCACAGAGGTGACCAGCTCAAGGTCACATCCTTGAAGCAACAAATGCAGAAAGCCATTCTTTGTGGCCAGTGGGGAATGAACAGCTGCACCAGGCCCCACCTCAAAGCGAAGGCCCACAGCTGGCCTGATGTGGCAAGTCTTCAAAGCTGAAGATTCTTGAAAGTGCGTACCTTTGAGAAGACAGAAGGAAAACATTAATTAGCAGGGACTGTCCTAAGCACTTTCATATATTTAATATTCATAACAACTATATGCCAAAAGTGTTAGCAACCTTCTCATTTTAGAGATAAAGTAACTAAGGCACAGAGAGTAACTTGCCCAAAGTTACTCAACTTAAAATAGCAAGGATAAACTTTGAACACAAGCTGCCTGACTGTAAAGACCATGGACTTAGCTACTTTGCTAGAATGCCCACGGAAGGGAGATGTGGACCAAAAAAAAGCTGGCCTTACTAATGAAAAGCTCTGAAAACACAGAACCCTGAACTCTGCTAAATTTAAATGTGTCTTCCTTTCTTCAAGTCTTGGTCTTCTCATATAATGCTAAATCTCTCTGATACATCCAAGCAGGATCTATGCTAATCTCAAAACTTCATGAAGAACAATCTCAGGTGTAGCCAAGGATATGGAACAACTTGAACTCATACCTCAATAAAGCTGTTTTTAAAAAAGCAAAACTAAAAGGCCCTGGCTGGAGGGGCTCAGTGGACTGGCTGGAGGCCAGCAAGGGGTTGCTAGTTCAGTTCCTGGTCAGGGCACATGCCTGGGTTGCAGGCCAGGTTCCCAGTATGGGGCACACGAGAGGCAAGCACACATTGATGTTTTTCTCCCTCCCTTTCCCTCTAAAAATACATAAATAAAATCTTTAAAAAGAAAAGCAACCTTTAAAAAATAAAAAGAGCAAAAAAGGTAGTATCTTTATACAACAGAACAGGAGTGTCAAACTCATTTTCACCAGAGGCCATATCAGCCTCATGGTTGCCTTCAAAGGGCCAAGTGTAATTTTAGGACTGTATAAATGTAACTGCTCCTTAACTAGGGGCAAGGAGCTTGGCACTGTTGCCAGGTAGAAACAAGGTGCTGGGCCGGATAAAACAAGGTGGAGGATGGCCCTCGGGCCTTGTGTTTGCCCTGTGCAACAGAATATTATATAGTAGTGAAAATGGGTTATAGCTAACTCAGCAACCTGGAAGCATTTAAAGAATATCATGTTACTTGAAAGAAGCAAATCACAAATAACTCAAAACCCTTCAAAGCTAAAAAACACATTGGTTCAAACACATGTGGAAGAATTATAAAGCAAGAGAATGATAAATACAAACTTCAGGATGCCATGATCCCCTTTGACAGCTGAGAGGCAGAAGAAGGTTCAGGAGAGGAATTCCCAGGGCTTCAAAGTTAATAGTACTGTTTTATTTATTAAACTAAGTGTTTTATTTATTAAACATTAGTTCATTAATTTGTTATTTTTTATGCCTTATGTATATTTTATAATATTTGTTAGTATTTACTCGGTATTTTGAAAAACGATGTTTTTAAGTGAAACTTGTAGCACAAGCCCAGATTTTCCCTGTCATTTTTTTACAGTACAAATGATAATTCGCACCAAAGGACTTAATCTGAATGACCAAAGTTCCCTGGTCATATATAATTTGATGTTAGCTGCCACACAAACAGTAAGTGGACACTATCTTCATGTATAAGCTTAAGGAGCATGTGGGAAATAAACATGGAGAATAACCTATTGAATGCAAAACCCCAGCAAGAGCTCCAGGAAGCTCCTTGCAAGAAAGAGCTTTGTTAGAGTTCTTTCTCCCCCTAATGGTTACTGGAGAGAAGGACCGAGGGCTTGGCTAGGGCAGCTGCCTCTGGAGCAGTGATAGGAGCCAGTTAAGCTGTGGCTGCCCCACACGAATCCCACCAGCTCTCCTGGGATGGTGCCATCCTCACCTGGGCACTGTCCATGCAGAAACTGCCAGAGTCCCATGGTGCCCAGCTGCTGGAGACCCAGTTCCTCTGCTTGCAGGGCCACAGTCAGGTCCTCACCACGTACCTCAATCCCAAAAGATACTTCATTCACCTTCAGAACCAGAACTGAGACCTGGAAAAGGAGACTCTCTTAGCTGAGTCCTGAGCTTCCAGCCTAGAGCCTACCCTCTGCAGAGAAGAACACTGACCGGGTAAAGATTGAGGTCTTCCCCACTGGGTGAGATGAAACTGTTGGCCTCTGGTGACCCCTGGCCATAACTATCCACCACAGGGCTCCCTTGAACACCAGCACTGTCCAAGGCATTTGGAAGAGATCCTGATGGAAGAGATTCTGGGCCAGACTCTGCGTAAGAAAGACAACAAAAGAGTCTGAAAGTCAAAAACTTTTGTTCAAATACAATCCCTAAAAACAATGACTACTGTAAAAACAAAACATTTATGACACTTATGAGACAACTGGAAATATGAAGGCTAACTACATATTTGATGAACTTAAGCAATTACTGTTAATTTTTAAGTGTGATAATGGTATTTTGCCTAATTTTTTAAAAGTCTGTAAATAGAAACAACCCAAGTGTCCATGGATGGATAAACGGATTAACAAAAGGTGAAGAAAATTCTGACATGCTACAATGTGAATGAAGCTTGAGGATGTCACGTTAAGTAAAACAAGCCAGTCACAAAAGGACAAGTACTGTATGCTTCCACTCATATGAGGCACCTAGAGTAGTCAAATTCAGAGAGAAAGTAGAATGATGGTTAACAGGGGCTAGAGAAGGAGGGAATGACTAACTACTATTTAATGGGTACAGTTTCATTTTTCTCAAGATGAAAAGAGTTCTGGAGAAGCTTAGTGGTGATGGTTGCACAAAATTTCAATGTACTTAATGCTAACTGAATTATAGTTTAAAATAGTTAAGATGGTCAATTTAACTCTTATAATTAAAAGTCTGTATTCTCTAGAGATGCATAATAAAAATATTTATGGATAAAATGCTATATTGGGAATCTGCTTCAAAATAATATGGGAGGAAGGTAAATGGGCAAAAGTATGTGTGAAAAAAAATGGTCATTCATTTTTTCTCTTATGCATCACTTTATTATTTTTCTCATTTTAATTATATTTGATTGATTATGCTATTAAAGTCATCCCAATTTTTCCCCCTTTGCCTGTCTCCACCCAGCACCCGTGACTCATTCAGGCAATCTTCACACCACAGTTCATGTCCATGGGTCATGCATATAAATTCTTTGACTATTCCATTTCCTATACGGTACTTCACATTCCCAAGACTATTCTGTAACTACGTATTTATATTTCTTAATCCCCTCACATCCTCATCCACATCTCCATACCCACACCCAATCTGGCAACCATGAAAAAACACTCTGTATCCATGATTCTGTTTCTGTTCTTATTTGTTTAATCTGTTTTTTAGATTCAGTTGTTGATAGATATGTATTTATTATCCATAGTCTTGATTTTTTAAAAAATAAGTCCCTTTAACATTTCATATAATAATGGTTTGATGATGATGAACTCATTTAGTTTTTTCTTGTCTGGGAAACTCTTTATCTGCCCTTGGATTTTAAATGATATTTTTGCTGGGTAGAGCAATCTTGGCTGTAGGTTCCCACTTTGTGTGACTTTAAATATTTCTTGCCAATTCCTTCTAGCCTGAAAAACTTCTTTTGAGAAATCAGCTAACAGTCTTAGGGGAATTCCCCTGTAGGTAACTGCTTTCCTCTTGCTGCTTTGAAGATTCTGTCTTTATCTTTAATCTTTGACAATTTAATTATGATGTGTCTTGGAGTGGGCCTCTTTGCATCCATCTTGTTTGGGACTCTCTGTGCTTCCTGAGCTTGTGTGTCTATTTCCTTTACCAAATTAGGGAAGGGTTTTTCTTCACTACTTTTTCAAACAGATTTCCAATTTCTTGCTCTTTCTCTTCTCCTTCCGGACCCCCATGATGCAAATGCTGGAACACTTGAGGTTGTCTCAGAGGTTGCTTACACTGTCACTTTTTTCTGGATTCTTTTTTCATCTTGTTCTGCCTGGTTGTTTTTTGCTTCCTTATGTTCCAAATCATTGATTTGATTCTCGACTTCACCCACTCTACTGTTGTCTCCCTGTAAATTGTTCTTCATTTCAATTAGTGTATCCTTCAGTTCTGACTGGAGATCTTTTTTATGCTGCTGAGGTCCTCACTAACTAACTTCCTTGAGCATCCTTATAACCAATGTTTTGAACTCTGCTTCTTTCAGATTGCTTATCTCCATTTTGTTAGTTCGTTTTCTGGAGTTTTGATTTATTCTTTCATTTGGGCCATGTTTCTTTGTCTCCCCATTTTGGCAGACTTCCTATGTTTATCTCTGTGTATTAGGTAGAGCTAATACCATGGACATGAACTATGGTGTGGGGATTGCCTGAGGGAGTGGGGGTTCTGTGTGGAGGAGAAAAGGGGGAAAAATTGGGACAACTGTATAGCATCATCAATAAAGAAAAAGAAAAGGGGTAATGGTCTCTGCCCTCTTTTTTTGCTGGGAGAAAAATGTCCCTCAGCTTCTGCCTTGATGCCAGACACTTCAGTTTCTCCATTTGCCAGAAAACAAGCTGCTACCCTGGTGCTGGGTCTCAGAGGGAGTGACCTGTATAAATCTGTGTGTGGGTTCTTTAAGAGGAACTGCTTGGGACTCCAGAAGTTTCTTCCACCTCTCAATCCCTGCTGGTTTTTGCAGCCAGTAGTCATGGGGACTTATCTTCCTGATACTAGAACACTGGGCTGGGGGCCCACTGTGGGGCTAGGACTCCTCACTTCCAAGATATCCATACCAAATTTTTATCCACCACATGGCACTAGCCAATTCCATGTTTCTGCCTCTCTTACGAGTCTGATGAGCGTGATTTCTTTAATTCCACAGTTGTCAGACCTCCATTCAACTCAATTTCTGACAGTTCCAAGTGATGGTTGTTCTATATTTTAGTTGGAATTTTGATGCCTTTGGGCAAAAGGGTGAGCTGTGTTTATCTGTGCCACCATCCTGACTGAATGTCTCTATGGCCATGCGTACTTAATATCTGAAGCTAGGTAATGGGTATATGAGGGTTCACTACTTCAATCTGTCTACTTTTTTATATATTTGAAATTTTCCCTAAGAAGTTAATAATAATAAAACAAATATGGCACTCACCAGCCAGCTTTTTATTTGATGTTCTTTTTATTTTTCCATTTAGATACTTAAGGGACAATTTTAAAATCTTACATTTCACTAAGCTGAAAGAACCAATATAATTTCCAGTGATACTTGATCTAATTCCTAACAGTTATTGATTTTATCATAGATGAAAAGTTCCTGGTTCTTTTCCAATAATAAAGTAGTTAGGCAAAGACCAGAAAACAAACACACACACACCATTGACATCAGCCACAAACTAATCCTGCTGTAGCTGGGTGGCTGCAAGACTAATCTCGTTCTGTGAAAAAGGTCTCGTACTAAACAATTACCTAGAAGATGTGAAGATAAAGCTAGAGTCACAAATCCATTGAATTTCTGTTTTTGGTTTTGCCTAAGAAAATGTCTATTTCATCAAATCTAGCTCCTTTATTCAACCTGCATCCTGCCACTCTGAATACAGACAGCAGAAAGAACCCCTTCTGGAGTTCTAGAACGTTGGCTGGCTCTGCTTCCACTTACCAGACTCCAAGAGCATCACAAAGTTATCACTGCCATCACTGTCTACTGAAATCCGGTCATCAGGGCCACTGCTATCCAATGAGACACCATCAAATGACTGCTGAGATACTGTCCTCTTCATGGAAATAAATCGGAATCGAGCAGCACCTCCACTCACTGGGGCTGCCACCCCCTCATCTATCTTGGCCATGGGCTCCCTGTTTAAAAAATAAAAACAAACCCACAGATGTGGCTTCAGAAACACTGTTCCATCCCCTTGCAATACCCGTCCCTTTCAGCCCAGATGGTTGTTATATACATTAACTTGATTACAACTATTATCTGCTATAGGGGTCACACCATTTGTCAACAGCTGGCCTTTCTAAATCCTCATATTCCAACATTTAAAACTGCATAACCAGCTCAACATTAAATGTCAAAGTTAATTAAGGTCATCCCATACAGAGAAGAGATCAACTGCCTACAGCCCTGGGCTGATAAATGGCACCTGAATCCAACCACATTCATTCCACAAGTATTTACCGAATAACTTCTGTGTGCAAGGCACCAGACTATGTACAGGGCAGAGTGATGAGTAAGACATCCACTGTCCTCAGAAATTTATAATCTAGAAGGAGGGAGGAGACCCATACATAAATAACGTTATATGGGAGTAAGTTATACACACCAAAAGAGAGGAACAGAGGTACGAGCCAAAGACTAGGCAATATCAAAGAGAGGAAAGAATGAGGAGAAAGGGGCCAAGAATAGCTTTGTGTAAGGAGGCAACATTTGAGTTGGTCCTTGAAGGACTGTGAAAGAGGAAGGGAAAAGGACATTTTATGGGGTAGAAAAATTGTAAGCAAAGGCACACCAGAAAACAAAGAGTACTGTTAGAGACTAGTAAATAGCTCAACCCAACTAGAGCATAAATTTTGTTGGAGAAAGCACTGGAAGATAGAAAGGTGTAACATAGTAAAGAGAAGCCTTCAAAGACTTTTTAATTGTACACTCCTATTTTACAAATGAAGAAACTGACTCAAGGTCACAGTTAAAGGTAGAATTAAGAAAAACCCAAGTCCACTACCTTCTTGTAAAGTACTTTTTTCTTTTTAATTATTTTCTAGTATATTTTATTGATTATGCTATCACAGTTGTCCCATTCCCGCTTTCACTCCCCCACACCTTGAACACCCTCTCCAAACCACATTCCCCCCTTTAGTTCATGTCCATGGGTCATACATGTAAGTATTTTGGCTTCTACATTTCCCATACTATTCTTAACCTCCCCCTGTCTATTTTCTACCTACCATCTATGCTACTTATTCTCTGTGCCTTTTTCCCCTCTCCCACCCCTCCCACTCCTCTGCTTATAACCCTCCATGTGATCTGCATTTCTGTGGTTGTTCTTATTCTAGTTGTTTGCTCAGTTTGTTTTTGTTGTTTTAGGTGTGGTTGTGAATAATTGTGAGTTTGCTGTCTTTTTACTGTACATATTTGTTATCTTCTTTTTCTTAGATAAGTCCCTTTAACATTTCATATAATAAGAGGTTGGAGATGAACTCCTTGAACTTGACCTTATCTGAGAAGCACTTTATCTGCCCTTCCATTCTAAATGAAACCTTTGCTGGATAGAGTAATCTTGGACGTAGGTCCTTGTCTTTCATGAGTTGGAATACTTCTTTCCAGCCCCTTCTTGCCTGTAAGGTCCCTTTTGAGAAATCAGCTGTTAGTCTGACGGGAACTCCTCTGCAGGTAACTGCAAGAGATAGGGGTATCTCTTGCTGCTTCTAGGATTCTCTCCTTCATTTTAATCTTGACTAATATAATTATGATGTGCCTTGGTGTGTTCCTCCTTGGGTCCAACTTCTTTGGGACTCTCTGAGCCTCCTGGATTTCCTGGAAGTCTATTGCCTTTGCCAGATTGGGGAAGTTCTCCTTTATTATTTGTTCAAACGAGTTTTCAATTTGTTGCTCCTCCTCTTCTCCTTTTGGCATCCCTATGATTCAGATGCTGGAACGTTTAAAGATGTCCTAGAGGTTCCTAAGCCTCTCATTTTTTTTTTTTTTAATTCTTATTTCTTCCTTCTTTTCTGATTGGATGTTTCTTTCTTCCGTCTGGTCTATACCATTGATTTGAGTCCCAGTTTTCTTCCCATTACTATTGATTCCCTGTACATTTTCCTTTATTTCATTTAGCTTAGCCTTCATTTTTTTCACCTAATTTGCAACCATATTCAACCAATTCTGTGAGCATCCTGATTACCACTGTTTTGAACTGTGCATCTGATAGGTTGGCTATCTCTTGGTCACTTGGTTGTATTTTTTTTCAGAGCTTTGATCTGTTCTTTCATTTGGGCCATTTTTTCTTCTCAGCATGCCTGTTATGTAGTGAGGGGCAGAGCCTTAGGTATTCATTCACCTGGGCGGGGTAACCCACATTGCTAGGTTGTGACGCTGTATGTGGGGAAGGGGTCTGAGAGGGAACAATGGTGCTTGCTCTGCTTTCAGCCGGATTTCAGTCACTTCCCCCACTTCCCACAAGCAAATTGGGCCCTTTTGGTGCTGATTCCTATCAGGGTTTGTATACATTCTAGGACCCTGTGGGTGTCTCCAACGAACTCTCCTGTGAGGCTGGGAGTTTCTCCCACTGCCACGTCAACCCCCACAGGTGTTTTCAATCAGTGGTTTGAGGCTGTATTCCCCAAGCTGGGGCCCCGGGTCGTGCAGTCTGCTCTGCTCCCATTTTGTTTCACCTGGTTTATCTGCGCACGAGTGTGAGACTGCCTGCTCCAGCAGCCACCGCCTTGCCGGCCAGCTGCAGCTTTGCGCACCCTGTTCCATAATCCGCTGCCTTGCTGGGTCTGCCAGCCACCACCTTGCACACCCTAGTCTGCTAGTCATAGCCTTGCTGTGCATCCTCTCTGCCCTGGCTGCTCGACTCCACCCCTCCTACCAGTCTGGATGAATATTTCTTCTTTAACTCCTTGGTTGTCAGACTTCCATACAGTTCAATTTTCTATCAGTTCTGGTTGTTTTTTTTGTTTCTCAACTGTTGTCCTTCTTTTGGTTGTGCGAGGAGGTACAGTGTGTCTACCTATGCCTCCATCTTGGCTGGAAGTCCTGCAAAGTACTTTTTTCATTTTACCACATTGGTTGAAGCCAAGTTATAGAAAACCCTAGGTAAAAGATTATATATAAAGGTGCTTGGAAACTATACAGTGTAAGGGATTTATGGGAAATCTCTGTACCTTCTACCCAGTAGCTATCAACCTAAAGCTACTCTAAAAAATAAAGTCTATGATTTTTTTTTAAAACTGTGAAGTGCCATGTAGATATATCCTAATATTTAATTATGTCACAATAAAAAATTCAACTAAATTCAGGGGAAGTAGTTGAATTATTTTCCTTTTTAAAAGGAAAAAGCCTGAAGGTTTTAGAGTAAGGAAAGAACAAGCTCATACCTGTTTTAGGAAGTCTGACCTGGCTTCTTCAAACAAGTTAGAAAAAAGACTTCCAATAAGAAATTCAATTAATAGTTTTTTAAAATAGTTGACGTGAGAACAGACAGAAACAACTGATATGGGATGCACGAGATGCATTTAGAGACTCCCTAAATAAGGGACTCTCTGGGTAGGGTTCAGCAATGTGTGCATTAACAAGCCCTCCAACTGATTTTGAAGCATGTTAAAGTTTGAGGAATCCTGCTCTAAGAACTGTAGCCAGAACTTGACAAACGACTGGAAGAGCAGAGCAAAAATGTTGAACTTGAATGAGCAGATTGATGCTACCAAAAAAAAAGAAAGAACTGGTCTGAGGAGAGAGAAGAAATTTAGTTTTATATATGTGAGGTTCAAGGCACCACTGGGATATCCACGCGGAACTATATGCAGTGGACAGTTTTAAAAGAAGAGCAGGGGTGGAAAGGGAAATCAGGACTAAAAATATGGAATATAGCCGTAGTGAGGAAATGGATAAAATAACCTACAGAAAAAGTGTTTGAAAGCACAGAATGATATAAACCTTCTGAAAGTTTGGCAAATGCACCAAGAACCTTAAAAATGTTTGTAATGTTGGGCCCAATAATTCTATTTCTAGATTTTTATTCTGAAGATTTAGATTTGCATAAAGAGTAATATTCACAAAAATAAGAACATTTAACACAGCATCAGTTCTACCTGAGAAAAACTGGAAACATTAAGTGATGGAATGTGTGAATAAATTATGATACATTCATTTTCTAGAACATAATCGAGCAATTAAAAATTTCACAAATGCCTCATGAATGGAAAAATATTAAGTGGATAAAACTGGACATTTTCTACGTCCTACAGAAATATTATAATCCCACTGTAAAAACAATATTTGTGTGTGTATCTGTATAGACACATAAGCATTCACATGGATACACAAATATATGTATAAACATTGGAAGAAACTAGATCCAAGTGTAAATAGAAGCCATCTCTGGATAGTATAACAAGTGACTTTTAAGTTTTCTTCTGTATTCTTCTATATTGTCAACAATATCATGAACACAATCAGTTTTATAATTAATTATGACCAAGGTGATGAGAACATGGACACCCTAGCCTTGTGGAATAGTTACATTTACAGGATAAATAGGAGAAGAGAGCAGCCAAGGTAGAAGGTGGGTAGTTGGGTGGGTCACATATACTCAGGACGGACTGACTGATAGGAATACCTGACCACAGAGTCGTCCAGGGTAAGGACGACTGAGAAAGGGCCACTGGCCTGAGCAGTTAGGAAGTCATTATTGGCCTTTGTTTAAAAACGAGCTTGTGTCACACACCTGTCTTTTCTCTTTTCCATCTCTCCTCCTTTCCCATCTCCCTTACTCTTCTTCATTTAGAAAAGGCCGCACTGCATTTGGTGACTGGAAGTCCAGGCTTTCAATCCTCACCCCACCACTCACAAGTTGTGTGGTCCTGAGCAAGTTTCTTACCTCTGAGCCTCAGTTTCCTCATCTGTAAAATGGGGGGTGATATCAGTACCTGCCTTATAAGGTTATTACAAGAATTCAATGGATTAATATTGTAAGTATTTAAGACAGTGCCTGACACATAGAAAGCACTCAGTAGATATTGGCTAGAATTATTATATCATTCACTCTTTTAAGTTTTCCTCTCTTCTTCCTCCTAGAATGTCTATGCCTAGCAGGTTCTAGCACACCCCCAGCAAATGCTGAAAAACCTACTTAAGAAAATCCACGTACACAAAAGCTCTACAGCCACTGGTTTTCATACCATGGTCCACAAACCACAAAGTGTGTCCCAGCAAAGACTTCCCACAGTCTTCATTATCTTTCCTAAAACCACAAGGCACCCAATGGACAAATCTGTACCTTTCCACTCTTCTGAATACATTTCTGTTTTTCTGCTTACTCCCTACTTATCTCCAGTGTCTAACAAAGAACAGCACACAGTAGGGCTAAAAAATTATTGCTGAACGAGTGGGTGAAACTATTCCTCCAGCAGATGTTAATAAGGTATACCAGAAAGAGCAAGTCCAAAGCCCCAGGTCTGTATCAGCAGCACAGGACTCACGCACACATTCTCCCTGAGGCCTCAGTTTTCTCAGCTTAAACTAAGAATACAAGTATCTGCAGCGACTTCACTAGGTTGCTGTGGGGGTCAAGTCAAACAAAATACTACACTAGAGCCCACCGAAAAGAATAAAACATCACACAGATGCCAGAAATTATTATTCTGATACAGCATGTCTGCATCAATAACAGTGAATCAGAAAGAGGAGATAATTTAATCCTAAGAAGCAATAAATGTTGACTTGAAAACTGCCCAAGAAACAGCTACAATATGTGGAGGCATGTGATAATACAGGGGATTTTGCATTATTTTATTGCAATTTCAGAATCTTCCCCCATCACAGAATTAGAAGTAGCCTGAAAATGAGTCTCTCTAATTGGTGTACCTATATCCTCCAAGTAGCCTGAAAATTCCTCCACTTCCCTGCAGCAGCTCTGAACACCAAGGGCTCTGCCACATTAAATAGGCCATTCTACACATTCTTCTGGACTATACAGTACATCCCAATCTAAAAATGCTCACAGTAAGAGACTCTAAGTCCAATGACCACAATTAGGAGTCACAGCGGGTGACTGGAGGAGGCAAAGAACCACTCACTTGGCTGGGGGCAGGGACAACATCTTGTGCATGGTGGAGGTCATTCGGTCTCTGCCCAGACTGAAGGCACCTTTAGTCAAAGACACAGCTTCCTTGGTGAGGTCCATGGTAGCATACAGAGCCTCCTTGGTGGCATCCTTGGTCATGTGAATAGCGTTTGACAATTCTCCCTCAATGCTCTTCAAGGGCATAAGCTCATCCTGCCCATTCACAGCAGTATCCCTAATACCTGGGGACTTCAGGGCAGCTGGTGAGCTGGATGCTCCAGTTCTGCTCAGTTTCTTGGCCTGTAGGGAATTGACTGCCTCATGGCCCTTCCCTGCCAACTGTCGTGCAAGAGAATCTGAGTCCTGCAGTTCTCCATTGCTATGGAGAGGCAATGGCCTATCCAGAGATGCATCCGGATTTTCAATGCCACTATCCTCCAGAACCTTCTCAGGGCTTGCTGGGCCCTGGTCTGAGGAGGCATCGGACTTCAGCTCCCGATCCTCTGAAGGAGACAGCTCTGACTCTATAAGGCTAGTGGTATCTGAGCCCGCAGTGTCAGCTTCCGCAGCACCAGGGGCAGGATGCATGAGCAGAGCCACCTCGGCAGTAGGGAAGAGGACCCCAATGCAAGCTGTCTGGTCCTGCAGGGGAGACCCAGTCATGGCCTCTGTATCCTTAGTCAGCTGCTCCTGAAGACCCTGTAGCACCTCCTTCAGGCGGAGCAGAGCCAAGTACTGGTAGTGGTCAAGCCTCACGCAAACATGTTCAGGGGAATGTACAAGCATGTGAACATCTGCCACATCCTCCAGTTCTGTCTGAGGCTCTTTCTTGTCCATACCACCACTGCCTTCTCTCAGAATTTCCATGTCTTCTGTTAGGCCTGACAGGCTTTTCAAATCATGCTCAGTTTTTGACCTCAGATGGGACACAGCGTCAGGGGCAAGGGCCTCAGACTGAAAGGAACTGCCAAAGCTGGCTGAAGGTCTCAGCCTCCCTTCTGCAGCCAGAAGGGGCTTTCGTGCCTGGGCTTGCTGCCAGCGAAGGGGCAGGCAGGCCCAAATGGACAAGGGAAAGGGGGCTACAAAATTAAAGGTATGGCCCTTGAAGTTCTCTGTTCCCTCAAAGTCCAAGGAGATCTGGGAGAAGTGGATGGACCAGAGATCCTGGGAAGCTTTAGGCCTTTGGGGAGGTAGGGTATTAGAATGAGGGAGGCTGGACTCCATCTTGAAGGCATGATGTGAAAAAAGCATGTGCAGGAGGCTGAAGCCACCTGGAACCCTGGGGAACTGAACGTAATTGGAACGAAAGAACTCGGCAGCATCGAAACCCTGGAAGAGAGTGCGGAGGTCTAGACAGCCACAGTGTGGGGCATGGCGTGTATTGGTGGCAGTCATGCCTGATGCAGAGAAGACGAGGGCCTGAGGCCGATGCAACCCAGCTTGCTCTTTCTTCTCCAGCGGGAAGCTCACCTTCAGAGAGAGAGAAAATTAAACCCAATTCAGAATGGCCATTTGAGTATCTCCACACCCCACCATAACACACAATGAAAGACCATTGGGCTGCAATGGGAGAAATGCATCTGTGGCTGTCAAGAGAGAACAAAAATCCCACTCTCTCCCTACCTTCAACCAGAAGGCATCCAGTCGGATGTCCAAGTGTTCATCTTTCTGGTTTGAATTTTCCAGTTTGTAGATAGCTTTGAACTGCTCCAAGCTACGGTATAAATCCAGGCAGAAGAGGTTTCCCCAGAGCAAGCTGACAGGATCCATCGTAAATGTCAGACCATTTAATTGAATGTAGAGATTGGGACAGGGAACTGGAAAGCAGAGAAAAGAATCCCCATGTACGAAGTAGCAGCTCGACTCCTACTTAGCAGTTGATATTTCTCATATTACCCAGAGAGCAAAGTTACACATTTATACAGGGCAGAATTTTTAACAAAGGTGTGCTAATTCAAACATTCTAAACTCCTAACAACAAATGAGAATATAAGCAGTAGCCCCAAGTCTGACAAATGGAAAGGACATGCCTGGACAGTAAGAAATGACCAAGTACAATGCTTACCTGGAAGCTCCTGATTATCGGGGAAATAATATTCTGTGAACTCAATATGAATGGCAGAGACCTGAGTGGGCAGGTTGTGAAGTTTCCGACTGCAAGAAAGGAGTGTAGATGGCTTCTTACTGGGCTGTCCGGCTGTAGAGACCTATGCAATCGCAAACTGCTGTTAGCATCTACGCTGCACCCAGGACAGACTTGCCTCAATTTCCTCTATCCTCCATCCAACGTCTGTCCCAGGGAGCACAGTGCTTTTACACATACTTCACACATATTCCAGACATTCTCACACCTGCCTAATGCTATCCACAAGTTCATTTTTTCAAAGAAAGGTTTGTACAGTTTGTAGTAGGGTATTCTCAAGTCCTGTTCACACTTGTTGCATTCCAAATGAACTGCCCCACCCCATTCCAACCACATTTGCCCGGGTCCTAGACTCCTCACCTGGTGGATGTCCAAGTCATCCACCCGAACTAGCATGCAGCTAGAGCGTAAGCGATTCCATGCTGGAGGCCGAAAGCCAGCCTGTCGGCCCTGAGAGGGGCTTCTCTCAAGAGGGTTCTTTCGAGGACTAGAGAGAGAATCTAAATAAAAGTGAAAAGGTGGGAAAAAATCAGATACATTCAAATTGTATTATTAATAAAATTAGGAAGTAAAAATCCTAATTAGGATTATAAAATAATGATCCTAAAATATTAATGCTACAATATATGTAGAAAAGGCATCTTAACACTGTCTAGCTTCTGGATAGAACTCAAAAATTGTATTCTCCTTAAGACCAGGGCAACACCCTATTGAATAGAGGTGATGACAACCTCTCTCAACACTGCAGCCATCCCTGAGGACAACACAACTCTCTAAAGAAAAAAGTCAGGACTTCCGCCAAGATGGGGGCATAGGTGGAAACACCTTGCTTCCGTGCACAACCAAATCTAAGAACAACTATTTTTAACAACAATAAACACAACCAAACCACATAGAAAATCAACAATACAGAGTCCGAAAAAAAAAAAAAAACGACGAAATGCTCAGCTAAACTGGTAAGAGGGGCGAAGCCAGCAGTGGAGCGGGTTGACCAAAAAGATCCCTGACCTGGTGGTACGCAAGCAGCCGAAGGCCCGGAGCCCGGGCTAGCTACGGCAGCACACAGGGAACAGGCGCGGCTGTCTGTCTGCGGTAGGTCGCGCATCTGCGTGCTGATAAACCAGTGAAGAGGTGAGCATTGAGATTGCAAGGCGCGGGGCAGCAGGCTCGCACAATTCCAATCGGATAAACAGGCCAGGGCGAGTGGTGGGACTGGACGGACTGGGCTAGGGGAGAGGACCGCCATTGCTCCCTCTCTGACCCTGCCCACACACGCAGCGTCATAAAGCAGCGACCTGGGTGGCCCACTCTGGTAAACAACTAAGGCTTCGCTCCTCGTACTTAACGGCGCGAACATACCAAAAATGGCTCAAGAACAACTCAGAGCCCCAGAGCCGATCAATCTAAGCGATAAAGAAATAGCCAAACTTTCAGATGCACAGTTCAAAACACTGGTTATCAGGATACTCACAGAACTGGTTGATTTTAGTCACAAATTACAGAAACATATGAAAGCTAAACTAATTGAAATGAATGGTAATGCAAAGGAAACCAATAGTAATGGAAAGGAGATTGGGACTCAAATCAATGGAGTGGACCAGAAGGAAGAAAAAAATGATCAAACAGAAAAGAGTCAAGAAGCAAGAATTCAAAAAAATGAGGAGAGGCTTAGGAACCTCCAGGACATCTTTAAACGTTCCAACATTCGAATTATAGGGGTACCAGAAGGGGAAGAGTCACGAGTGGAAACCTTATGTGAACAAATAATAAAAGAGAACTTCCTCATTCTGGCAGAGGAAATAGACATTCAAGAAATCCAGGAAGCTCAGAGAGTCCCAAAGAAGTTGGACCCAAGAAGAAACACACCAAGGCACATCATCATTACATTAGCCAAGATTAAAATGAAGGAGAGAATCCTAGAAGCTGCAAGAGATAAGGGGACAGTCACCTACAAAGGACTTCCCATCAGACTGTCAGCTGATTTCTCAAAAGAGACATTACAGGCAAGAAGGGGCTGGAAAGAAGTACTCCAAGACATGAAAACCAAAGACCTACAACCAAGATTGCTCTATCCAGTAAAGCTTTCATTTAGAATGGAAGGACAGATAAAGTGCTTCTCAGATAAGACCAAATTCAAGAAGTTCATCATCACCAAGCCATTATTATATGAAATGTTAAAGGGGCTTATCTAAGAAAAAGAAGATAAAAAATATGAACATTGAAAGGACAGCAAACTCACAGTTATTAAGAACCACATCTAAAGCAAAAGCAAACTAAGAGGACAGCTAGATCAGGAGTGAACCATAGAAATGAAGATCACATGGCGGGTTAGCAACAGGGGAGTGGGAGAAGGAGAAGGGGGGGAGAAGGTACAGAAAATAAGTAGCATAGACAGTAGATAGAAAATAGATGGGGGGAGGGTAAGAATAGTAGGGGAAATACAGAATCTAAAGAATTTGAGACACGTGTTCATGAACTAAAGGGGGAAATGGTGGGGGGGGGGTGTGCATGGTGGAGGGGAACGGAGGGGGGGGAATAGAACAAATGTAATGGCATAATCAATAAAAAAGTTTAAAAAAAAAAAGAAAGAAAGAAAAAAGTCATCCAGAACTTCCAGCCAAGATGGAAACGTAGGTGGACACACTGTGCCTCCTCACACAACCAAAATTAAGGACAATAAAAATTTGGAAACAAAAAAACACCAACAGACAGAAAACTGAACTGTATGGAAGTCCGACAACCATTCATCCAGACTGGTAAGAGGGGCAGAGTCAGCAGCTGGTGGACAGGGGTTGCAGCAGGAAAAAGCGGCCAGACCTACCCAGGCGCACAGGTGGCAGCAAGCAGACCCCAGACAAGGGAAGGAAATGAGCAGACAGTGAGGCGCACAAGGCGGAACGTACACAAGCCCACCCTCCCAGGAACCAGCACAAAAAGGGCCCAGTTTGCTTGTGGGAAGTTGCAGAAGGAACTGAAATCCGAGGGTGCATGGAGCAAGCACCATTGTTCCTTCTCTGACCCTCCCCCTCCACATACAGCATCAAAACCCAGCTACTGGGCCACCCTGCCCAAGGTGAATACCTAGGGCTCCGCCCCTCACTACATAACAGGTGCAACCAGACGCCTCCCTCCCAAAAAATGGCTCAAATGCAAGGTACAAATTAAAGCCCCAGAGCCAATACTTTTAAGTGACCAAGAGATTGCCAACCTATCAGATGCATAATTCAAAGCACTGGTGATCGGGATGCTCCGAGAACTGGTTGGTTTTGGTCGCAAATTAGATGAAAAATGAAAGCTATACTAAGTGAAATGAAGCAAAATGGACAGGGAACCAACAGTGATGTAAAGAAAACTAAGACTCAAATCAAGGGAGTGGACCAGAAGGAAGAAAGAAACAAACAAAACAAAAAAAAATGAAGAAACATAAATTCAAAAAAATGGGGAGAGGCTTAGGAACCTCCAGGACATCTTTAAACGTTCCAACATCCAAATTATAGGGCTACCAGAAGAGGAAGAGGAAGAGGAAGAGGAAGAGGAAGAGCAACAAGTGGAAAACTTATTTGAACAAATAATGAAGGAGAACTTCCCCAATCTGGCAAAGGAAATAGACTTCCAGGAAATCCAGGAAGCTCAGAGAGTCCCAAAGAAGTTGGACCCAAGAAGGAACACACCAAGGCACATCATAATTACATTAGCCAAGATTACAATGAAGGAGAGAATTCTAGAAGCATCAACAGATAAGGGGACAGTCACCTACGAAGAAGTTCCCATGAGACTGTCACCTGATTTCTCAAAAGAGACCTTGTGGGCAAGAAGGGGCTGAAAAAAAGTATTCCAAGTCATGAAAGACAAGGACCTACATCCAAGATTACTCTATCCAGCAAAGCTTTCATTTAGAATGGAAGGGTAGATAAAGTGCTTCTCAGATAGGGTCAAGTTCAAGGAGTTCATCATCACCAAGCCCTTATTATATGAAATGTTAAAAGGGCTTATCTAAGAAAAAGAAGATAAAAAATATGAACAATATGGACAGTAAAAAGACAGCAAACTCACAGTTATTAACAACCACACCTAAAACAAAAACATACCAAGCAAACAACTAGACCACAGAAAACAGGAACAGAACCACAGAAATGCAGATCACAAGGAGGGTTAACGACAGGGGAGTGGGAGGAGGAGAGAGGGAGAAGGTACAGAGAATAAGTAGCATAGATGGTAGGTAGAAAATAGACAGGGGGAGGGCAAGCATAGTATGGGAAATGTATAAGCTAAAGAACTTATGACACATGGACGTGAACTAAAGGGGGGGAATGTGGGTGGGAGGGGGTGTGCAGGGTAGAGGGGAATTGTTGGGAACCACCCTGCCTGGTTTCAGGAATTGTAACTGCCCCCCATGGCTAAGTGAGCAACCTCCGGAATGCGAGCCACAGGAGACAAAGCTTGTCTCTGGCAGCAAGCGCTGCTTCTGCTTCTTCCCCTGCTCCCAAAGCATGGTCGATGTCCATGGCGGGTACGACCCTGGGGGGGGGCAACCTAAGCCAGACACAATCACTTGGGAGGCCATCGTGGAAGGACTCAGGGGGTTGTAACAAAGAAGGAGCGATGGACCCTTGCCCCCAGCTATTCTGACATAGCCCAAGTCCTCATTTCCGTCTGGGAGAAGCGCTTCTTGGCTCTAATCCACTTAAACCTAAAAACCTATGATGGGGAAGGCCGTGCAGCCCTGGGCTGGAAAGGGCAGGTTCCCCGGGTGACCAGGCCTAAGAAAGAATATGTAAAATCCTGTGAAACCTGCTTTGTTTAGAATGCTCTCATTTAAATGATAAGGGTCCAAGCAAGAAGTTTGTTCCTCAAAGTTTTATGGCTCGTTAGCTATCTGACCCTGAGTGAGAATAAGTCCTCATAGTTCTTTGAATGCTATCTATTGTTTGATCCTGACCTGTATTCTTGTGCAAACGAACCCAATAAAAGCCCCTTGAGCAGGGGACTCTTGGCCCTTCCCCTTTGAGGGATTGGCCACCTTTCCTCCCCAAGCAGATCACATCATGTCTCAGTCATGTTTACTCTCATCGGTGGCACATGGGGGGACTTGTGAGGAAAGTCGCCCCCACAGAGAATGAAGGGGGGAAATGGGACAACTGTAATAGCATAATTAATAAAATATATTTTAAAAAATTTAAAAAGTCATCCAGTCAAGATGGAGGCATAGGTAGACACGCTTCGCCTCCTTGCACAACCATAAGAAAGATCATAACTAACCTACAAACAAAGAATACCCGAAACTGCCAGAAGATTGGACTGTGTGGAAGGCCAACAACCAAAGACTTAAAGAAGCCACATTCATCCACATGGGTAGCAGGGACAAAGATGGGGAGCCAGGGTGGACAGGACACAGTGTGGTGGCAGTGAAGCAGCAGGGTTGTGGCTGCAGCCAGCAGAATGGGTGGTCTCACATTCACATGTGGCAGATAAAAATTAGGAGGGACACCTGGGGAGCAAAGAATCCCAGCCCCAGGCTAGAGTACACAGCCCCGGGTTCCAGTGCGGGGGAAATAAAGCCTCATAACTTCTGACTATAAAATCAGGTGGGGGTTGGGGCCAGAGAATAAAATGCCAGTCTCTCTGGAGAGTCCATTTAAACAGCCTGCACAGTCCTAGAATGTCCGCAAACCCACCTACTCTGGGAACCACCACCACGGCAGCAGCAGCATACAGGAAGTGGATGAAGTGACTGGAAATAGGGCAAGTGCAGAGCAAGCCTCAAGCAGCCAGGCAATGGCACTGAATACACAGCCACAAAGCAGTGAAGCAGGCTGCCCAGCCCTGGTGAATGCCTAAGACTCTGCCCCATACAACTTAACAGGTGCGCTAAGACAGGGAATCAAAGCAGCTCTCCCTAATACACAGAAACAAACACAGGAAGGGTGCCAAATGAGGAGCCAAAGAAATATGGCCCAAATGAAAGAACAGAACAAAATTCCAGAAAAAGAACTAAATGAAACGGAGAGGACCAATCTATCAAATGCAGAGTTCAAAACACTGGTGATGAGGATGCTCAGAGAACTCACTGAGTATGGCAAAAGCATACGGGAAGAACTGTAACCCTGGGTACACTTGAAATAAAGAAAAATCTACAGAGAACCAACAGTGAAGGGAAGGAAGCCAGGGTTCAAATCAATGATTTGGAACATAAGGAAGAAACAGTTAACCAGAACATAATGAAGAAATAAGAATACAAAAAAATGGGGAGAGAATAAGAAGACTCTGGAACATCTCCAATAGTGCTAATATCTGAATCATAGGGATCCCAGAAGAAGAAGAGAAAGAGCAAAAAATTGAAAACTTATTTGAAAAAATAATGACAGAAAACTGCCCTAACTTGGCAAAGGATATAGACATACAAGTCCAGGAAGCACAGAGAGTCCCAAACAGGATGAATGCAGAGGCCCACTCCAAGACACATCATAATTAAAATGTCAAAGGTCAAAGATAAAGACAGAATCTTAAAAGCAGCAAGAGGAAAGTGGAGTTACCTACAGAAGAGTTCCCATAAGACTATCAGCTGATTTTTCTTTTTAGATTTTGTTTATTTACTTTTAGAGATAAAAGAATGGGAAAGAAACATCAGTGTGTGGTTGCTTCTTACATGCCCCCTAATGGGAACCTGGCCAACAACCTAGGCATGTGCTCTAGACTGGGAATAGAACAGGTAATTTGGTTCCCAGGCCAGCACTCAACCCACTGAGCCACACCAGCCAGGATTATTAGCTGATTTTTCAAAAGAAAGTTTGCAGGCAAGAAGGGACTGGCAACAAGTATTCAAAGTCATGAGAAGTAAGGACCTACATCCAAGATGACTCTATCCAGCAAAGCTTTCATTTAGAATGAAAGGACAGATGGAGTGCTTCCCAGATAGGTAAAGCTAAGAGTTCATCATCACCAAGTCCTTATTATATGAAATGCTAAGGGGACTTATTTAAGAAAAAGAAAATTATCAAAACTATGAACATTAAAATGACAACAAACTCACAACTATCAACAACTGAATCTAAAAAACAAACTAAGCAAACAACTAAAAGAGGAAAAGAAATAGAGATCACATGGAGGGTTATCAGTGGGGAGAGGGAGGAAGGAGAATGGGGGAAAGGTACAGGGAATAAGAAGCATACCTGGTAGGTATAAAATAGACAGTGGGGGATGTTAAGAATAGTACAGGAAAGAGAGAAGCCAAAGAACTTATATGCACAACCCATGGTGATGGACTAAGGGAAGGACTGCTGGTCAGAAGTGGGGTTCCAGGTGAAGGGGGAGTGGGGGGGGGGGAAACTGGGACAACTGTAATAGCATAATCAATAAAATATACTTAAAAAAAGGAAATTAAAAAGTCACTAATGACTCTCCATGGGATAAGGATGGGATAATTGGCTAGGAATAAGACGAGATGATTAGTTAGCCCAGTACTCTATTTCCACTGGATAGTCACAAGTAAATGGCCAGAGGCTAAGCAACAGGAGTCCTCCAGCTTCTCATAACCCCACCTGCTTTCCTCCTGAAAGGAGAGTCTACCCCTGGGTGCCAGGGGGGTTTCAGACCTGTGTCTTCACGCCACTTCTCCATTTTAGTCTGAAATTCCATCACCAGTTTCTGGGCCCACTGGCCTCGGGTCTCCATGGCTTCACAGTGCCGTACCCAGTGTTTGCAGCTATCACCTGCACAACAAAGCAAGCAAAAAGATTCTAGTCCAAGATCATATTCCGATATTCCATTTTTTCCCTCTTTGCTGGCATAGTCGTAGTTCAGATTCTGATCCCTCAGCCTCAATCCAGAATTCTCAGGGAAAAGTAAAAATTATCCAGTGAGAGCACTTAACTTATTCTGGATTCCATATGTGATTTTTCTCTAAGGTTCCCAAAGGCCAGCTTCTGACTGCTGCTATCTTTGACTGTAGACTATGAGAAAGGCTCTAAAACTAAGGGAAATAAGGGAGAAAGGGTAGAATCAAAAGCAGTGTATCAGCCCTGGCTGGTGTGGCTCAGTGAATTGAGTATCAACCTGCAAACTGAAAGGTCGTCAGTTCAATTCCCAGTCAGGGCACATGCCTGGGTTGTGTGCTGGATCCCCAGTAAGGGGTGTAGGACAGGCAAATGATTAATGTTTCTCTGGCACATGGATGTTTCTTTCCCTCTCTTTCTATCTCCTTACCCTCTCTCTAAAACTAAAATCTAAAAAACATTTTTTAAAGCGGTATCTTAGGCTCTGTCTCCCCTCCCTACTTCCTCTCATCAGTGATAAAGAATCATAGATAACAGACACCAAAAGCTTCTGGATGTCTTTCTGAAGAGGGCTATTTCCAAACCTCATGTGCTGGAAGCCCTTGCAGCTTCCTGTGGGGCATCCAGGGATGAACCAAGAGATCTGCTTTCAATACCTGGGCCATGCTAGAACTTCCCCCTTTTAGAATTCTCATACCTGCCCAGTGGAAGGGGTAATAGTCAAATGCCATCTTGCGGAAGGTAAGCTGCATGGCACCACCCATGAGTCTGTTTGCAGAGACACCTATAAAAGAAAGATAAAGGAGCTAGCAACAAAAGAAACAAAGAAGACTAAACACCTCTTGAAGCATTAAAAGTTCTCTTGAGGATCTGATACACAGTGTACATTAAAAGCTATGACATCAAGTGATTTTCAAGACTCAGTTCCTCCTCTTTTGAGTTGCAACAGTCCATGGACATGCTCTAAAAGATCCAAAAAAGTATATTCCACTGTCTCTCTATATAGCTGCCAAATTTCCAGAAGGGCAAAAGAAAGTGCAAAACTCAGGATTTAGAACCTCCAATCCTAAGTCTCCCATAGACACAATCTACAACCTTCATTGACTGATTCCCCCCAAACTAACAATACTATACACTGTCCCTCAGCACAACACCTGGAGAGGCATAAGTCAGATTCCTCAAAACACAGGACCCATACTGTTTCCTTTCATATTTAAGAAAAGATTCTAGTGCGTCAGAGCAAAAGCTGTGATACTAGAAAAGCTTTAGCTGCACATACAAAGTACCATGGCATACTAAAAGTACTGAATTAATAAGAACACTGTAAAATAAACATAACAGAGTATTGTAGGTAAATTGGAACTTTCAGCAATAAATCAAATATTGTATTGACTTCTGGTCAAGATGTTGGCATAACCCATACCATCATCTGTAGGAAGTACTCCCATCTTCCCACAACCATATCAAAATTACAACTAAACTACAGAACAATAATCATTCCGAACCATCTGAAACCTAGTTGAATAGAGGTCTTACAACTAGGGGTTTGAAGAAGCCATATAGAGACTGGTAGGAAAAGCAGAGATGCACGACAGGCTGGTCCCACACCTACATGTGGTGGTTAAAAATTGGGATATCTCAGCTGTGAAGGTCCCCCCTGAGGAGCGAAGGTCCCCCCTGAGGAGCGAGGGTCCCAGTCTCCCACCGGACCCCCAAGCCCAGGGTTCCGGTGCTGGGAAGGTAAGTTCCCATAACTTCAGGCTGTAAAAACCAGAGGGGATCAAGGCTGAGTGTGACTGAGGGCTTCGGGAGTCCCAGGCTGTTGCTCTTAAAGAACCCAGGTGTGGACTTACTCTGACTCACTCCCTCTGAGCTCCAGCACTGAGGAAACAGTTCAAAAGGCACCTGGGACTTACAGGGAGAAAGAATTGTCTGGCAACAGGGTGAGAGCTGGGGTGGAGGGCATTTTTCTTCCAGACTAAAGTGCTGGCAGAGGTCATTGTTCCTTTGATGAGCCCTCTCCCACAGAGCCAGCAGACAGGTGCCATATCTGAGTCTCCATCAACCCGGCTCTCGCTAGTAATTTCCTGGGACCCCACGCCATCAAATTTGCAGGCACACCCAAGCTGCTTCCAGTAGCTTTTCCACACAAACTGCCTGTCTTGGCTCATGCTTCAGAGTTTCCTAAAATCCCTCACACAAGAAGCATCTGGCCTCAGCATGCCCTATACGTCTTGGTAAGTGGCCTCAGGTCTGGCACTAACAGTAGCCAGCCTTGGTTTGCAGCTTGGCCTCACCCGGACACCTCTGGCACAAGTAGCAGCCACCTGCAGATTTCTCTGTAGTTCAAGCTGCATGGTCCCTGGCAGAACACAGGTGGTGGCTGACATTGGCCTGCATCTCCAGAAGGCCCAGAGCCAGCACAACCGGTGGACTACTTAAGACCACAACCCAACCACCTCCATAGTGACACACTGAAGGGGCAGACTCAGTGGGCACCAAAGCCCCACTGAAGCAAGTCCTGCTCTGTAGGATGGGTCCCTAAATAGCTGATCCTCCATGGTGGTTGGCGGTTGGTGGTCACAGCCAGGCCTTGCAGTCAATCAGCCTGGGGGTAAGTCCCTCCCATTGACGTGCCAACAGCAATCAAGTTCAACTACAACAGGAGGGTGTACACAGCCTGGGGCGGGGGGGTGGGCACACCTAGAATGCCCAGCTTGGGTGACTGGGGAGACTGTGCCACTGGACCCTACAGGACACCTACTACATAGGCCACACTACCAAACCCGGGCGACGTAACAGCTCTATCTAATACTTAGAAACAACATAGGGAGGCAGCCACAATGAAGAGAAACACAGTCGAAGTGAAAGAACAGAACAAAACTCCAGAAAAAGAACACAGTGGAGACAAGGAATCTACTAGATGCAGAGTTCAAAACACTTATCTCTTCAACTAGATTCTAAGAACTGTAAGAGCAGGGATGTTCTTCTGCAAACATGTAATGTCTGACCCATGTTCTGCCCTTCCACCTTGTCCCTTACTGGCATAAAGGGAAATACCACGAGATCCGCTAAAAATAAACTGGTACACCTACAACCCACAGGGTCTTTTCCAACCAATCTACATCTCACAAGTTTTGGACTAATCAATATCATACCAAGAAATACACCTATACCAGTATTTCAGTTTCTCAATCACTTTTTCATAATTACCCTCTCTAAGGAGCCTTTTACACATTTTTCCCTAATTGTCCCCTCCATAAAATTTTAATATCTCAGATATGCTGTATATCTGTTTATATTCTATATATCTCTGTTTCATACATAAAAAGAATAAATACAAAGCTTACTCCTTTTATTCAATGCAAGGTTAAGAGAGACTAAATTTCCTTTCATTTAAAAGTTAAATTAAAAAATTTAAAGCTAATATTTAACTTTATATTTGCTGAGTAATTTTTTAAATTTCCTTTATTTCATTTGTTTATTTTTAGAGAGAGGGGAAGGGAGGGAGAAAGGGAAGAAGAGAAACATCGATGTGTGGTTGCCTCTCCAGTATCCCTGGCCCACACCCCAGGCATGTGCCCGGACTGGGAATGGAACTGGAAAGCCTTTGGTTCGCAGGCCAGCACACAATCACTGAGCCACACCAGCCAGGGCTTGCTGAGTAATTTTTAATGTAATTTATTTATGTAAATTATAATTTATCAAATACATATGCAAATTTTCTCTTTATATAAATATATAACAGCAATATAATCAAATGTTTAGTTATTCAAAATTATTTTTAGCAAAATAAAACTGAAAATTTTAAATTAATTTCATTAAAACTAAATTACCTTAATTTTAAACTTTGCTTGATCTGAAAAAATAATCTTTAACTTAACTAGCTGCTAGATATTAATTCAGATATATTTTTTCTTTTCAGCATCTAAGTGATGGGCTGAATAACATTTGTAGAATTAAATAACAAAATGTAAGCTATTTTATTTAGTCCTCAAAGCTCAAATCACAAAAGCACTGACGAGCAAACACAAAAAACACTGACAAGGCAGCCAGTGACAGCCAGCGGCGCGTGCAGGCCATCTCTCAACTTACGCTTTAAGATCAAGCAATCAACTGAAAGAAATTCTTCTAATCACAGCCATCTATTCACCACAGTTTGCAGTACTGATCTCCCATATACTTGTGTACCTTTCGTAAATTCAGCATCGATGCTACTCATGTGATATCCAGGCAAACCCAATGACAGAAATTAAGTAGTAAGGAATAAAATCTTGCCAGACAGGGTTAAGCTTTGGAGGACCACAAACCATTGTTACTATAGAAGATTCTTTTCATCACCCACCAAAAAAACCAATTTTCAATGTCCAGAGTAGGCAAATATCAAGACAGAAAGTAGATCGGTATGTGCTACGGCTGTGACGTGAGAGTGACAGCTAATGGCTACAGGGTTTCTTGTAGGGGGGACAAAAATTTTCCAAAATTGGATTATAGTGACAATTGCACAACCCCATAAACACACTAAACAATGAACTGTATATTCTAAATGGGTGAATGATATAGTATGTGAATTATTGTTCAACATAGCTGTTCAAAAGAAAAGAGTCGATTTGCACCTGCTTGGGAGAAATACCCCAATTAAGATGCATGAGTTAGGCTACTGGAATGAGACGGTTTCACAGCCATGCTCCCTCTGTTGAAGTTACTTGGAGCTAAAAGAACAACAAACCACACAGACTGAGCATATAAAAACAGGATCTGGAATTGAAATCAAATATAATTACCAATTACCAACACACTTAATTGTAAACACATAATTATATACGAGACATAAATGATAGTGGGCATAAATGGCTAATTACAATTCTGCAATGAGCTGGTGGAAAAGGATGGCTTAGGTTTAAGAGACAAAGTTTTGGGCTCACAGGCCTTATCCTGAGGGGAAAGAGTTAAAAAGAGTCAGGTGACTTTCTTTCACATCAACCACCAACCTCCTCTCTGAAGCCTCTGAAGTGTGAGATGCTCCAGTTTGATTTCTTTTATTGAGATGTAACTGACATATAACATTATACTGATATCAGTTGTACAATGTTAACATAACGATTCAATATTTGTACATATTGCAAAATGATCACCGCAGTAAGTCAACACCCATCACCATAGTTACAAAATTTTTTCTTGTTATAAGAACTCTAGGACCTACTCTCAGCAACTTTCAAATAAACAATACAGTATTATTCACTGTCGCCACCATGCTGTACATCCCATCTCCGTGACCTATTTACTTTGTAACAGGTTTGCACCCTTTGACTCCATTCATACATTTTGTCCCTTCCTTCTGGAAACCACCAATCTGTGCTAGTATCTATGAGTATTTTTGGTTCCTTTTTAGATTCCACATTTAAATGAGATCATGCATTGTATGTCTTTTTCTGACTTGTTTTATTTAGCACAATGCCCTTAAGGTCCATCCATGTTGTCACAAATAGCAGAATTTCCTTCTTTTTTATGGTTGAGTAATATTTCATTGTATGTTTGCATTTGTGTATGTGTGTGTGCCTTTATCCATTCATTGATCAACAGATTTTTAGGCTGCTTTATCAATTTTCTTTATACACTTATCCATCGGTGGATGTTTAGGCTGCTTCTGTACCTTGGCTATTGTAAATAAGACTGCAATAAACATGGGAGTGAAGATATCTTTTTGGGTGTTTTCATTTCCTTTGGCTAAACACTCAGAAGTGGGATTGTTGGATCGTATGGTAGTTCTATTTTTCACTTTCT